CAACTTCTGCTGCTGTCCTCCTAGTAGGTTCCTCCATGGCCTCCTCAGCCTTAGCTTTCCTCACCATTTCGACTTTCACTGCCTTCATTGCAGAGTCTAGCAACTTTGGCTGAGGAGGGACATCCTTGCTCGAATGGAAAACTGATGTCCTGAACTTTTCGAAAGAGCTAGTAATGTGAACCAGCCTCCTCTGCTGACCTCCTAGAAGTGCCATCCTTTGATAGCCTCTTTAGCTAACTTTTGACCTCCTTCGCCACACTGGAGCTCAACTTCAGAGGCCTCGCCCCCACTGAAGAGGTAGCTCTCAGAATTGAAGCCATGTCTGGGACGGGGTACTCCCTTTTCTTAAATTTATCTGCGAAGACACAATAGGTCAGCACTGTATCAAACAATCACAAATTTGATCAATTGGATCCATTTCTTACCCTTGGAGGCCATTAGTTCAAAATTAACGAAGTACCGGCTTCGATCAATGAGGTGGTCGAAGTGGCGAAGTTTCAAAGGCCTCTTATATATGTCCTCAATGACCTCGAACTCCCCTTTGCTGAGCTCAAACCTCGTACTGGAATTTACAAAATAAGTGGCAACAGTTAACAAAAAATTGAAAAACTTAGCAAAATGTAAACATCTCAAGTTTCGACACTCACGACCTTCCTAGTACTAGGTCGGTACTGTGCAAGCCGCGACCTTGTTCCCTTCAACCGCCTGCCACTTTTCCCAAACCCAGAACCATGACTCCTTCCATCCCTTGATGGAAGAAGGCAGTCCCACCACGAAGGGTGCATGAGCTCCCGAGGGTGTGATGTAATACTACCCCCTCGACTCGTCTTTACCTAAGACGCGAGGCTGAAAAAGGGTCTGAAAGACGTGCAGAGTTTTTTCCACAAGAAGTATGACCCCACTAGCTGGCTCCACCCATTCAATAGAACTTGGGTCGGTGACAACATAAAATTCCTAAGCACAGCCCTAAAAAGGGGTGCAGAGGAAGACGCATACCTGCTTTGAACATGTATTCACTTACAGCCACACATTCAGGCCTCGAAAAATAAGCCCTTTCGTGGGCTTCGGGAACTAGCTTCTCCACATAATGAGGGACACAATATTTTTCCTTAATTTCCTCCAACTTCTTCAAGGTCATGTTTTATGGTATCTTAGCAACCCCCCATTCTTCCTCGTAATCTATAGGCTCCTCGGCCATGGCATAATACTCTACCTCGGAGACCCCACTCAAAACAGTACCCTCACCCAATCTAGCTATGGTCACCAATTTCCTACCTGAACTGGACTCCATATTACAAAATTTGGAAAATCGACAAAGATTGCAAAAGAAATTATTCTTGCAAGGAATACCTATAGAAACAACTAACAAACGACGATCTACAGCACGTCGGAGTTTGAATTCAAAGCAAGACTTTCGACGTCGAAAGCTTAAGAAGATTCAGAGAACACAGAAGTTTAAAGTGAAGAAGGGTTCACAATGCAAGGCTTTGGCCTTTTATAGGAAGCCAAGACGAACCCCAGCCCTTCAATGAAGGCACCATGAAATCTCAGTCTTCCAATCCTGGGTTAAATCCAAATTGTAGAATTCAAATCTTTTTGAAACTTACGCCTCAAATTCAAATGTGCTCCTCACGCACTTCCCTAAATGCGTCTCCTTCTAGAAGCCCCAGCTGTAGCCATCATTGCACATTTAATGCAGCAGCCGTACGTGCCTTGAAAGTTGCAACGGCTCAGCTTCCTTTTCTTGGTAACGTGCACAAAATATCAAATCATTGGCACGAACATCGAAGACAATCGGCTTCCTCTGCTTCGTCATATTTCAGCTTCCCAAGCTTTGACAGGTTCGATACCCTCATCCCCCTGGCTTTCTCCGTTTCGTCACATTTCAACACCTTCACAAGCCTTGGCAGCTTTAGAAGCCTCAACATTTTCACAAGCCTCAGCATCTTTACAAGCCTTGGCATGTTCAATCCCCCTATTGCCTCGGCTTCCTCTGCTTCGTCACATTTCAGCTTCACAAGCCTTGACAGGTTTGATCCCCTCACTGCCCCGACTTCCTCTACTCCTTCACATTTCAGCACCTTCACAAAGCCTTGGCAGCTTCAGAAGTCTCGGCAGCTTCACAAGCCTCGGCAACTTCCGAAGCCTTGACAATGATCAACTCGGCAACACAACCTCACATGCTAATCTGAACACCAACACTTCAACTCCAACCATGATATAAATATCTATACTTGGACTTGGGGGACTATTATTCAGGGTACAAAAATTCCACACGCTTCACCGCTAAAAGTCCACGCATTACACAAATGACTATATTTGGACTTGGGGGACTATTATTACGTGTTGACACACTTGGCCGACCTCCTGGGGCCCATGGTCCGCTTATACCGAACCACATGGCATCTTATCCGAGACCCCAGGACAAGACTAGCATACTGTAACCACGCCCATGACGTGGCCCAAGTGTCGACGCCGAAGTGAATATGCAATGTGGCCTTCTAGTGGAGGCCCATCACTCCGAGGCCCCATCTTATCCGAGGCCATGAGGCTCTAAGCAGCACTCCTCCCCAGAGATCCGATCTTACACAAGGATCCTTCCTGATGGATTGATGGGACACCCATCATAGAGTGCAAGTGTCTTGTCAATGTAGTGGCGGAGCCGCCAACTAATAAATGTGTAGCCGACTAGGAAGTCAAATGTGATACCTATAATTTGACATGTAAACTTACGAGATGAGGCCACTGTACTCCCAACCAAGGATCACGATCTAAATTGTAATACTATAAATACTCTCCATGTATCTCTCACAAGGATAATGCAAGATTCAACACAAGAACAAATACAATATTTTTTACTCTTTTACAACATACGTGAATTCATACTTGCATTCTACAAACATTGATTGGTAATTATTGTACAATCGTTATGCAAACATCTCGCCGGATTCTAAATGTTCTCGTCTCGCGCCTTTGAGTCGTTTCCACGCCCCCTTTTGCTATTATTTCTAGATCGTCTATGTGTCTTAACGTGTTGGACCAGGATTACTTGTGTGTGGGTGGGTCCAGTATCTATTGGCAACATATTTTGGGGTCAACAATAACTAAGGTTGAACAATGAAATCACAATATCGTATACCCGAGCTTAAATCATTTTTTTAAATCGTTGGTTTGGACTTTTGGTACATGTGAATTTGTCAACATTTTTGGTTTTAAACTGAATCAAACCAAACACCTTCAAAGTAGTTTGATTTAGGTTTCAAAATTTGTAAACCGTTTCAAACAGTAAAATCATTACGAAAAAAATCTGAAAATAAATCCAACCTAAGACTAAACATATCACAATTTAAAAGATATATTCACGTTAGATCCAACTCAACTAGGCAATTATTAATTAAACCATACACAACTACCCATTAATCATCACAAATGCAAAGCCTTCAAATTGACTAAAGTGTTGAACGACTATTGCTGGAACATATTCATCGATCGCCCATTACAATTGAGTACACAAATAAAATTTAGATTTGAATTCAAATTCACACTATTTGTTTTTCTTTTACTAACAATTTTTTTTTTTTATAATTTCGAGTCAATTTTCAAGTCAGTTTACCCAATTTTTCATTTTTTTTATTATTATTTGCTATATTTATTAATAGTTGTGTTATTTTGTTCTAATTTGTGTCGGGTATCCCTTATTTTGCTAAATTTCGAGTGCCACTAAAATCACATATTGAACTTTCAAAAGCTTAAAATTTATTAAATGATATCATGAAATTGTAAAAGTGAATACATAAAATTTTGACTTCAACATAAAATAAAATACTAGAAGTTTATCAATCTTTATATCAAACCAATAATTAAATAAGTTCTTAGAAAATATAAGCTTGGTGAGTTTCTTTCACTTGCCAATTTGTCAGCCATTTCATGCCTCAATTGTCACGAATCATCAATTTCCTGAAAGAGGATAAAGGGAGGTGTGAGACAAAATCATAACTAGCACATAATTACATGGATTGATATTTGTATAGAATTTAAGAAACTTTATACATAAGTATATACATAGCAAGACAAGAAAATCTACACCAAATATAGGTTATATGAAACTTTCATATGTAACATTACTATACTCCGGTCCAAACATAGAACATACATAAAAGACCTCATAATCAATGTTCCAAAAATCTAAAGTGCTTATATAATTTCATAAAAAAAAATACTTATACACTTACCATATCTTATGATAATGACAAGAGAAATATTAAAATATTTGGGATTTCAACTCTTGACCCATGTACTAAATAATTTACTATATTTGTATTTTTTGTGCATTTTACGAAGAAATGAATGTACTTGAAACTATGTTGCCTATTTATAGAGGTTATCATGCTTTGAAAGTTCTAATTCAATTGAACTTTGATTCTTAAAATGATAAAATATTATTATTATCTCACGAGTTAATTCAGAGCTAATGACTCTTACAAAATCTATCACATGATTACAAATATTGAGACTATATGGGGCCAATTATGTGAATCGTTAATCGTAGATAATCCTCACAAAAGAAAAATTGAGCACACATCAGCATATATATAGAATTGGATGGTAATCGAGATGCGACTTGTACCTTTTAAAGAAGTGTTCATACTGATGTCTATTGAAGTGATCAGAATAGTCTTTTCGAGTAAACTCATTCAATATCATTTGCATTCATTTTTAGCTATTTGGCTCCAGATCACAATGATATACATGCAATACATATATAGGATAGCTATTAAAGAATTTCGAGGAATTATTCTTGGTGTGAGGAATTATTCTTGTTGTGAATAGTCGGTAGGGGTTCTGTGAATCCCTATCCTGATCACAAAGAATAATTAAATTTTGAAACTCGACAACTAATGGGCTTGACTCTTTTTTTGTACAAGCATCGAGCAAAAGTGTAGTTACATATGTGTGTGTATGAATGCAAAATCACACACTTGCAACTGCGTGGGTGGTTATCGGACTCTGACAAACTCTCAATTCCAGTTAAACCCGCCCCACACAGATCCGCCCCATTCAATCTTATTCGCTTACTGTAAAAATTCTTGTTTCGGTTCTCTATCTTAGAAAGTTTGTCTTCGTTCTGTCACTACGTAACCCGACAATTCCATCTGTTAAAACCCTCATTTTCCTTCTCTTCACTTATATTTTAATTTACTTCGTGTCGTTTGCTTACCTTTTCCAATTATTCCTTTTCTGAAGTTGAAATTGAAAAATGGAGGGAGGACTGTTTAATCCTCGTACGGTTGAAGAAGTTTTCGGAGATTTCAAGGGTCGTCGTAATGGCCTTATCAAAGCTCTAACCACAGGTTTTTTACTCCTTTTTTTTCATGTTTCAGTTTTTGCTTTGTCTTTGTCTTTGTTTTTCTTTTGTTTTAATCGTCTTGATTTTATTGTTTCGCTTTTTCTGTGGCAGAAGTTGAAGACTTTTACCGGCAGTGCCATCCTGGTTAGGGTTTTTCCTAGTTTTGTGGGGATTTTTATTTATTTATTTATTTATTTATTTTTCCTGTTTGAATTCTTGAATTTTCTCTCTGTATTTTTTGGACTCTCTGTATTTTTATTTTTATTTTTCAAAATTTGTTTAACAAAGTGTGCAATTGGGTATGCATTAAAGGTATAGATTTTCTGATCTTCAGAGTTTTTGTCTTGCTAATTCGTTTTCTTGTTTTGATTTGATTTTTCTCATTTTATTTGATGAGATTGAAACCATAATTTGTGATTCTAGGTTTGTTGAATATATGATGCACTGGGGATGTAACATATTAGTTAGGTGATCAAGGACTACTATATTTGCGGCACTCCATCACACTTCTGCCATAAAAGCATACGAGTAGATGGTGTGTCAATTTTTAAGGGTTTGTTTGAAAAGTCAAAGTTGCACGCGTTGTTTGGGCTGCAATTATACGTTTTTCATGATTATGGTCGCATCTTTTGTCTACAACTTCTAATATTTTTTTGGAAGTCTTTGGTTCCAATAAATGCGAGTTACGGGTGAAAAGAATACATCTACGTTTTAAATTTTATTAAATAGTCTAAACTATTTTTGGGAACATGACTGAATTTTGGTGATCTTTTACTGAAATAGTGAGCTACTATTATGATCTTTACTAATTTTCTTGTAATTTGTAACCAATGCGTTGTAAGTATAAATTTCCGTCTATGAACAGTAATGTGAACAGTGTTTTTTTATTTTTTTTGGGGAACGACTAAGAAGCTGGAAAAATAATAAATCGGCTACTCACGCTAAAAGTTTATTTGTTTGTGCTGTTCAACAAGTTTTTGGGAAAGAAATAGGAAGAGATTTTTGGATTAGAGATGAAAGATTACCCAATTTTAGGCTCTGATACCAAATTTGATGCAGGACGAATTAAAAAATAAAAAGAAACAAGAAACAAGAAAGAGGGGAGAACCGGAGAGAATGGGGAGAGAAATCGGAGAAGAATCAGAAATTCATGGGGGAGAGGCGGAGGGAGAGGAAGGAGAAGCCATAGGCAACAAACCACCAAAATATTCTTCAATTCATCAAAACTAATGAAATTACATCGCAATTAGGTTTAAATAGTAAAGACTAAAACTCTAAGTAGAATGGGATTGGGCCAACACAAATCCAATTACATAAATAAAATCTAAAACATAAATAAAGTCCAACTAAAAATAAATAAAAAAGTAGATGTCCAAATCAATTTGTAGCATTCTTTTTTTTCAAGGATTCAAGATAATGATTTCTCTTTATGGATATATTTCCATTTTTAAGGTTTCTAGTATTTCTTCCCTGTAATCTTTCCCAAGCCGCAGCAGAATACAATGTATTCTTCTGGTGAAAAATTATTAACTAGGGCTTGAAGGTTAAAAGTAAACCATCTCCAAGCAAATAAGTATCTAATGGAAAAATTATATTTTAGAAAATTGGTAAACTTGATATCCAGTCTCAGTTTAGTCATTATCCATTTTTTGTTGTGCCATTCACATTAGAAGATTCCTATAAGATATTTTTCCATTGCTTTGCATTCAACTAATATCTGTTATGATGTTGCAACATCCATGTTTAGCACTATGGTATTCACATTTGCCAAAGTATACTTGCATGGTGGTTTTATTCTAAATTCATTTGTTCCTCTAGCTGTCAAACAAGTGCTGGTGAGTTATGTTGTTTTAGTCCTTTCCACTTGGAAACTATGTTATGTTTTGCAAACTGTTTTCTTTTTTTCCACCCATGCTTTTATTATTGTTAAGTACTTATGCTGCTTGTGCTTTATAGGGAAGGAGAATTTGTGCTTGTATGGACTTCCTAGTGAGCAGTGGGAGGTCAATTTGCCTGCTGAAGAAGTACCTCCAGAACTCCCTGAGCCTGCTCTAGGGATCAATTTTGCTAGAGACAGTATGCAAGAGAAGGATTGGCTATCTCTGGTTGCTGTTCACAGTGATGCCTGGTTGCTTGCTGTTGCCTTTTATTTTGGATCTAGATTTGGTTTTGATAAAGCTGACAGGTATATATTAAATGCTGTCTTTATTTCGAAAATATTTGGTTTAGCTTAAAAAGTTATACATAATTAACCTTTAAAATAAATATTTTTGTTATTGATGAGAATTGTAAATAAGCAAGTTACTTATTTTGAGATCAAAATAAAGCTACTTTTTTGGGAAAAAAAAAAAAAGTAACTTTTTTTTGCTTATAAAGTAAGTTATCTAAACATGTTTCGTAAAGCTGTACTTGTTTTATGCTCATTATTGGAACTTCTAAACACGGCTAGATTCTGTTTGTGCGTTATGCATTGGCTTCTCAAGTTCATAATGTTTCCAAGTGTTGTATGAAAGATAGTTGTGTGGATGGAAATCAGGAGGTTTATATAATTTAAGTTTTGAAAAAGGGTTGGGGGGTGATGAATGATTTCTCTGGGCATTAGAGACTTGCTGCAAAATAGCAACACAGTCATCAAAGCATACACAGTTGATGCAAATGATTTTAGCCCTTTGACATACTGTTTAAGCATCTTCCTTATTACAGTTGAATTTTAGTCAAAGTTCATTGTTCCTTTTTCTCATTTTCCAATTATGAAACAAATTTGAAATTTTGTTTCCCAGGAAACGGCTTTTCAACATGATCAATGAACTCCCTACAGTATTTGAAGTTGTGACTGGTGCTGCAAAGAAACAACAGAAAGAGAAGTCTTCGGTCTCAAACCACAGTAGCAACAAATCAAAGTCAAACTCTAAGCCGGTAAGTGTGTTTCATGTGCAATACATCAGTCCCCAGGAAATGGTGTTTTTCACCTTTTATATAACAGAACTTGGTATATCTAATCGTAAAATGTAAGTGGATTTTAATGAGAAGCTGGCCAACCAATTTCATTACCGAACGTTAAAGATTAACCACTGACACTCAGATAGTTATCCATGTGGAATCTCTCGGTAGGTCTCCAATGTTTTGTTCTATAACAAAACATCCACGTGTTCATTTAAGTGTCGCCACACTTTAGCTTGTGAGATCAGCTACTTACTTCACAAGTGAGAAATGACACATGTGATGGTCTATCCGTAATAACGATATCCATATCTCGTTATTACTTACGACCACGGACGATTTAAGATTCAATCAGATGTAATTTATATCTCACAATTACAACTCTTTGTGATTAACAAATTACGAAAATTTGAATCTACAGACTCTATTATTTATTTAACTGTCTATTAATTAAATAATGGATCTGCCATTAAATTGCATTAATTATACATACAAGTATTTATGTCCAAAGTTGATTGAACTTAGAGCATAATACTTACATTGCCAACATCTTTCGGGCTAGCATTAGAACCATCTTGAGTTCTGTTGTCTTTCGCGATGAATAATAGCTCCCTGAGGGGCTGGAAATTGAAGGAATTCAAGGAAACAAAGGGCTCTAATAATAAACTTGCCCTTTGACGAAAGCCAAAGGATCATAGGCAGAAAAAGAACAAGAGCTTTGAATTACTTTATTTTTTTTCAACAACTCATGCACTACACGTATCTATTGCATGGTGACTTGGATACAAATGAAAGCAAACAATTGAATTTGGCGCACTATTCTCAGCCCAGGGAAACAGTCACACACGTGATCGATTGAGAATAAATTCGCACAACTAGTTCGAAAATGACGGAGTAAAAGATAGTCGATATAGTATACAGTCAGTGAATCCGATGGAAAAATCCACAAGCATATTAAATTAATGCTAAACCCACTTCTTTTTTCTTTTCCCTCTAAAAAACATCATCAAAATTTCTTCAACAATTAACGGACTAGTAACAGTTGTGTTTACATCTGTGTTGATCCACCTTATTACAGTTGAATTTTAGTCAAAGTTCATTGTTCCTTTTTCTCATTTTCCAATTATGAAACAAATTTGAAATTTTGTTTCCCAGGAAACAGCTTTTCAACATGATCAATGAACTCCCTACAGTATTTGAAGTTGTGACTGGTGCTGCAAAGAAACAACAGAAAGAGAAGTCTTTGGTCTCAAACCACAGTAGCAACAAATCAAAGTCAAACTCTAAGCCGGTAAGTGTGTTTCATGTGCAATACATCAATCCTCAGGAAATGGTGTTTTTCGCCTTTTATATAACAGACCTTGGTATATCTAATCGTAAAATGTAAGTGGATTTTAATGAGAAGCTGGCCAAGATAATTGCCCTTTTATCAAAAAGTTGCAGAAAAGTAATTTTTACTTCTTGGAGCTTAGCTAAACATGCTTTATATACGTATGTTATAAATATCCCTTCCCCCTTCCCTTCTTCTTGTTTATATCGTCACTTGGCATTATTTTATGACAAGCAGCAGGGATTGGAATCTCAGGAAAAATATCCAAAGTCACAACCGGAGTATGAAGAAGAAGAAGTGTTTGACGAGGAATCGTCGACGTCAAGGCCTCCACCTCCAAGCCCCATTTCACAACGACGACAGGGGGACTCACCCGGACCGTCACCTAGGCCACCGAGGCCATTTCCTCCTCGGGTTACTCCTGAGGTTGTTGATCTTGAGGATGACTCCATTCCACCGGTAGCCTCAATCATTGAGGATTTTGAGCGATGCCATCTTGTCCCGAGCATTGTGGGGAAATATCGAGGTGACGTTGAATTCGACGAGGGAATGAAAGCTCTCGAGCTCCTTACTTTGAAGGTAAGACTTTATTTCCTTATGTGAATTTTTCATGTATTTTTCCTGTCTTTATGCTCTGTATGTTATGATGTTAGACACTCAGCGTTGCTCGTGGGCTATCACTGCAAGGGATGGACGAATCCCACAAGATGGCTGGACTGGTCGAGGCTGTTGGGCTTCGAGATAAAAAGCTATCTGATGCCGAGGTTGCCCGAGCTCAAGTTTTGAAGGAGAGGGATGATGCTAGGCTCGAGCTGAGAAAGGCTCAGGATGAGATTGGTATTGCTAAGGATGAGGCCAAAGAGCTGAAGCTAGAGCTTGAGCAGCTGAAGAGGGACATGGAGTCCAAGATTGAGGGGGCCCGAGTTTCCGCTATCGAGGACTTTGAAAAGTCCGAGGAAATGGATAGGTTGAAGGGCGAGTACACTTCAGGCTCGTACCTTCGTGCTTTGAAGGAAGCTTGAGCTTTTCTGAGGGCCAAGATGCCCGAGGTTGATCCTGAGGAGCTCAAGACGATCCCTCAGGTTGCTGAGAGTCTCGAGCTTTCGGATTCCGAGGAGAATGTGGAAGGTGCAGCCGAGGACGACGATGATGCCTTCGAGGATGAAGGACCTGCTCCAGGTGACGAGGACCAGGATTAGGCAATCCTGACCCCTAAACCCCAATGTTTTGTTTTGATGTAAATGTAATGGCAATTGGCCGTACATGACTTCGACTCTTTTTTGTTAAGTTTTTGAAATGAATGCTCAATCTTTTATGACGTCATTATTTTTGTCATGCTCCACCAACATAATTATCTCGAGGATTGAACTTCACAATCATTTTCGTAATGATGCATTGAGCTCGAGCATACACATGTTTATCTCAAGGACTCAATAAAATCACTTTTGTAATATCGCATTGAGCTCAAGCGTACACATATATAACTCGAGGACTCAATTTTATAAAATCATTTTTGGTAATAATGTGATGAGCTCGAGCATTCACATACATCTCGAGGACTCGATTTTATAAAATAATTTTCATAATGATGCATTGAGCTCGAGCATACACATGTTCATCTCGAGGGCTCAATAAAATCATTTTTGTAATAACGCATTGAGCTCGAGCATACACATATATAACTTGAGGACTTAATTTTAGAAAATCATTTTTGATAATAATGTGATGAGTTAGAGCATACACATATATCTTGAGGACTCGATTTTTTAAAATAATTTTCGTAATGAGGACTCAATAAAATCATTTTTGTAATAACGCATTGAGCTCGAGCATACACGTGTTCATCTTGAGGACTCAATAAAATCATTTTTGTAATAACGCATTGAGCTCGAGCATACACATACATAACTCGAGGACTCAATTTTATAAAATCATTTTTGGTAATAATGTGATGAGCTCGAGCATACACATATATCTCGAGGACTCGATTTTATAAAATAATTTTCGTAATGATGCATTGAGCTCGAGCATACACATGTTTATCTTGAGGACTCAATAAAATCATTTTTGTAATAATGCATTGAGCTCGAGCATACACATATATAACTCGAGGACTCAATTTTGTAAAGTTATTTTGGTAATAATGTGATGAGCTCGAGCATACACATTATTCCATTATTGCTCGGGAGAAGACTTTGAAGGTGCTTGCAAGGAGCAAGGCTTTGAGGTGCTTGCACAAGGCAAGACTTTTGAGGTGCTTGCGCGGGGCAAGACTTTTGAGTTGCTTGCGCGGGGCAGAGCTTTTCAAGTGCTTCGCGGGGCAAGGCTTTTAAAGTGCTTGCTCAGGGCAAGGCTTTTAAAGTGCTTGCTCGAGGCAATGCTTTTTAGTAGCGAGATCACATTTTGATGAATAGCTTAATTATTATTATACTTTTAAAAATACACTTGGCACGTAGGCCTGACAACTAAAAACGTGAACCTTGGCACGCAGGCTTGAGAACTGAAAACATGAACGTTGACATGCAGGCCTGACTACTGAAAACTAGAAGAACAAGTTACTTGTAATATATTTTTAAATTCTCGGCGTTTCATAGTCTTGGAAGTGGCCTTCCTGATGTATCCCTTAAACTGTATGCACCTCCTTAAAGTTGTCGTATGATTTCGAAAGGCCCTTCCCAAACTGGTCCTAGCTTGCCCGGGGCAGGACCTGTTGCTTGGGTCCCTCTTAACACAAGGTCTCCGGCTCTGAATCTCCGCGCTCTCACTTTTTTATTGAAATACTTTGTTGTTTTATCTTGGTAAGAGGTCATTTTTAAAGCTGCCCGATCACGGACTTTTTCCAAGAGGTCGAGGTGTTCAGTGGTGCGTCCTTCATCTTCAGGCTCAAGTCTTCTTTGGCTGGGCAACCTGATTTCAACAGGGATGGTGGCCTCAATACCGAAAGCCAACATGAAGGGGGTTTCCCCCGTAGCGGTTCTGTGGGATGTTCTATATGTTCAAAGTATGGAAGGTAACTCGTCAGACCAAGAACCTCTTGCATCTCCGATCCTTGTACGGAGGTCTTGCAATATAATCCGATTGGTCACTTCGGCAAGACCATTACTTTGAGGATGGGAAACCGATGTCAAACGGTGATCAACCCCTAGGTTGGAACAGAAGTTTTTAAATTGTGCATTGTCAAACTGCCTGTCATTATCAGTTATGAGGACTTTCGGTATTCCGAACCTGCATATGATGGACCTCCAAAAGAAAGTTCTCAACTTAGGCTCTGAAATTGTTGCTAAAGGCTCGACCTCCACCCGCTTAGTGAAATACTCTACAGTCACAGTCACAAACTTCAATTGCCCCCTAGTTATTGGAAAGGGACCAAGGATATCAATTCCCCACTGCTCAAACGGGGCCGTGCAACTAATGCTGTGAGGTCATCTGCAGGAGAGTGGATGATATTGCCGAATCTCTGGCACTTGTCACACTTCTTGACATATTCCTGGGTGTCTTTTTTCATAGTAGGCCAATAATATCCATACCTAATGAGCTTGAAGGCTAATCCTCGAGCTCCTTAATGGTTCCCACATATTCCTTCATGAACTTGTTCTAGGGCCTGGGATGATTCGAAAAGCTTAAGGCATCTGAGGTATGGAAGTGTGAGGCTTCTGCGAAATAAAACTCCTTCAATCATGCAATACCTTGGAGCTTTGGACCGGATGCTTCTTGCTGCTCGAGGATCTTCTAGAAGATTGCCATGTTTTATGAAGTCCACTATTGGATCCATCCACGATGACTCATTATCAATATCCATGACACCTATGGTCTGATTGATGCTAGGATCGGTTACAATTCTAATGTGGACTGTCCTGTTAAGCCCATATATCCCCATGAACACCAATCTTGACAAGGCATCGACTTTACAATTCTCAGACCGAGTGATTTTCACAATTTCATAACTCTTGAACTTTCTCTGGAGATCATGCACTTTCAAGCAGTATAAGCTCATTTTCTCGTCCTTCCTATCGAACGTCTCTTCAATTTGTCCAACCACCAACTGGGAGTCACTGTAAATTTTGATGTTTTCAAGCTCGAGATTGATGGCAAGTTCCATGGCTATGATGACGGCCTCATACTCTGCTTCATTATTGGTTGCCTCAAATTAGAATCTAAGTGCACACTGAATGTCTATGAGCGTGACCGGGCTTATGATTATGACCCTTGGACCCGATCCCGAGGACTTTGATGCTCCATCTACAAAAATTTGCCACACGCCCGTGGAAGAGCTCGAGCTACCATCTGGCCCCCAAGGCTTTGAGTTGAGTTCTACAATGAAGTCAGCGAAGGCCTGAGCTTTAACAGATGGACGGGGCTTGAACTCTATGTCAAATTCTCCGAGTTCAATTGCCCACTTCAGTAATCTTCTTGAGACGCTTGGTTTCTGAATAATGTGTTTTAGAGGCTGATTGGTGAGCACTATAATAGGATGTGACTGAAAATATTGTCGAAACTTTCGTGCTGCCACTATCAGTGCAAGGGCAAGCTGTTCTACCAAAGTGTATTTTGTTTTTGCATCAAGTAGGACTTTGCTTATGTAATAAATGGGTTTCTGGGCCCTGTTGATCTTTTTCACCAAGACACCACTCACTGCATTCTGAGACATGGCTAAGTATAAATACAAAGTATCCCCGGGCTCGGGTTTGGTGAGGATAGGAGAAGATTCCAATGTCTGCTTGAGCTCCTGAAAAGTCTTCTTGCACTCCTCATTCCATTCAAAGCAATGATTACCTCTGAGAGCTTTGAAGAAGGAGAGCACCTGTCTGCTGCTTGGGACATGAACCTATTTAAGGCGGCTACCCTGCCTGTCAACTTTTGAACTTCTTTCTTGGTCCTTGGTGATTCCATTGCTGCCAAAGCCTGAATCTCATCGGGGTTGGCCTCAATCCCCCGATGAGTGATCATGAAACCCAGAAACTTTTCTGAAGCTACGCCGAATACACACTTCTTTGGGTTGAGCTTCATCTTATATTTTCATAGGGTGGCGAACACCTCCTCGAGATCAGATACATGGCTTTCTACCTTCTTGCTTTTACCACCATGTCATCAACAAAGGCCTCAATATTCTTCCCTATCAAATTAACAAAGATTTTGTTAATCAGTCTCTGATATGTTGCCTCTTGTTTTCGACCTTTTTCATGAGAATGACCAGCTCTCCTTGGATTCAACGTTTCCTCCATATTAATGTACTTTTCAGCTCGGTTAAGGAGCTCGATCACTATCTATGGTAGGGTCTTTGATAAAGATATTTTGAAGGCCTCACACTTTATGGCATAGGTGAGGGCAGAAACTGCTGCTGTAATGTGAAGGTCGGGTATTTGAAGTCTTTCCTTGTTAAATCTTGTCATAAAACCTCGTAAGGTTTCATTCGGTCCTTGGCGCAATTGCATGAGAGAGACCGCGATTTTCTTGATTCGCTTGCTACTGGCAAAGAAGGCTGAGAACTTATGAGCCAAATCTGAGAATGAGGCTATGAAGTTGGGCTTCAATGTCGAGAACCAATCCCTAGCAGCATTTGTCAGCGTTTGTGAAAAGGCTTTGCACATAACCTGATCTGGTGCAACTTGCAAGTTCATGACTTCAGTATATACGTTGAGATGGTTGATGGGGTCGATCGTCCCATCATACTCTTTAATGCGAGGATATTTAAATCTGTCGGGCAAGGGATATGACAATATCTCTGGCGTGAATGGAGTGTTAGGGGTGAAACCCGTTGGCCCTCGTGCATTCCGTTGCAGGCCAGTTATAATTCCTTCTTGAATGATCCGGGCAATTTCAGCGGAATCCATGGCAACCGATCTCGAGCCCGAGGCCATATTGTGAATACCCGAGGTTCCTACTCCGTCAATTGCGGGGTTTGTGGTCGTGCTCGAGTATCAGCCATAAAATCGCCACGCACTGCCTACGCTAACGTGGATGTGAATTTCTTTGACTTAACAGTTGCGTGAGCGTGGCCACCTGCTGACGGAGCTCTTCAAAGGCTTCGGTTGTGATGATCGCTGGCAGGGGTGCAGGCACTCCTAACGATTCTTCATGAGGAGCCGGTTAATCTTCGGCAGGATGAGGGAGGAAGACCTGATTGTGTGTTAACCATGGCTTTTGGTAGCGCTTCCCATAGATGGTGCCAATGATGCTACCAAAAATCATACCTGTTGATTTCCTGAGCTTGAGGATTTGAAGAGCACGATCGTAGTCTTCCGGTACCTGAAACAAAGGCAACGAGATGTGTTCTCATCGCCCCTCCGATGCTTAAGTCAAAAAGGGAATTATATGCGTGAGGC